ATGACAGCATTAGGACAATTAGAAAAATTCACTTTGGTACTTTTGTCTACCACTTTGCTCATTATTTGCTGTACATGACATGAAAGCAAAATCACAGAAAATGGAGTTGATCGTAATGACAATCTTTACGGTAAGGTAAATGGTTTCGTTTAGACTGTGGAGGCAACATAAGCCTGCCATCCGGTTCTATAACAAGTCCTAATCATCCGGAAAGGTATCCAACTAATCTCGAGTGCACATGGACAATCAGAACGGGAGCCAGAACTACTCTGTCTTTAGCGCTTACTTCACTGTCGCTGAGCGCATCTTCCTGCGATGACAGTCTGACAGTGAAAAGCGCCGGCAGTGATGACGAGTCGACGATGAGAATTTTTTGCCAGGAACAGGTAAACCTTACGATCAGTGTAAAGTGGCAGTACAAAGAAAACCATGACAACTTTTAGGAACAGGTGACTCGTTTTGTAATGGCCACCAACGAAATTATTGTTCGATTCGTGTCCGATGCCAACGCCAATGACAACGGTTCCGGATTTAGGTTGACATTTACTCAAATTGGCCAGTGAGCAAATAATAATTAATAAACATAAAAGTGTATTTGTAAAATAAATCCGCTTTCAGAATAGTAATAAATTATGCTAAAAACAACAGAATATTAGAAAATAAACAGAAATATAGAGTTCCAGCGAGGAACATAAAAGTTTCGTAAAACGTGCCCTACGTCTGTCCGTCCGTTTCGTCCATCGACAACGCTGTATAGAAGAAACGCGATTACCGTTGCTAGCGCTAACGTAACAGAATAACAACAAATCGAACGATCGCTATCTACATCGTGGCGAAACGGAAAATCGACTAGAAGCTTCAGAAGCACCAACCAAATTTAACTGGCCCGTAGTGGCCACCACGCGACTGACCACTGGCCGGCAGTTCGACTGATCACTGCGCCATCCTTTCCAAAATCGGGATAATCTGGTCAAAGTTCGGACGTTTGCCCGGCTCTTCGTTCATGCACAGCGTCACCAGCCGGTTCATGTTGCGACCGATGCCCGGCGGAATGTTCACCCGCAGACCTTCCAAGGCTATCTGGAACAAATCGTCTTGTAAAGTACGACTTCGCCACAGCCAAACATAATAACAGTCAATTCATAATAGAATGATATAAGGTATACAGCGACATCCAGAATCATTTGCATTGCCTAAGGCAAGAAATGATTTATTTTTTAAACAGAGGTTAGCTAATTTATTTTTCTACACTAAGCTACAGGAAACCGCATAGTTAAAAAAGAACAATGCTGTACTAATGGAACTCATTAGTTCACAGGCTTATTTACAATCATAGTGAATCCGGTGCGATCAGAACAGATCATTAAGAGTGCAGCACCAGCAAATATTTCAAGGTGTGATTCATCAAGAACCGCTGTGGGAAAATTACATGCCTGATGAAACGCCGAACAGTTGCCCTACAAAATCTAGCATGGTATCAACGAATTCGGCAAGGCTCATTCATTTTCACTGTCCATTATTGCCTTTCAGTCATGAAGCAGCTGCTTTCGAATACCTATACAGTGATCCTGATGGCTCAATGGACTGCATTTTGAGGTGTGGTCCCAGGAGCGCGAAAGTGACAGATTCTCTATATAGATGAATTTTAGATGACGGTCTTCCATGTGATCATCTGGGACCAGAACATGTCGTGCGACTTTCAGGTGTAACATCCTGATCACATGTTCGAACCACCACAGTTTTGATATCTTGATCTGCAGGAGTATAATAACCATCCATAAGGTACAATATCTATTGTATTTATGAGATACGTACATGTATCCAATAATATTCATTCCTTCAACAACAACATTCTCTGCGATAATTCGGTTTAAGACGACATCAACAGGCTAACAAGGATATTAAATGGTAGCGAAAACGGCTTGAATTCCGAGCTGGTGCTGCCTTGACCATATGAAGGTTTTGCAACTTAGAAGATATGCCGAAAAACGAATACACTATTTTGGTCTAGAAAGCTCCATCATTTTTAGTATACATTTCTCTAGACTTTAAATTGTTTTTGCCATCACTTAATATCAGATATTATATCACACTATCATTAAGAATATGATATGGTATCTTATATGGTTATAAAGAATGTATTATATCTATGAAGAAACCATGAACATTTCAAATTAAGCTGTCCAAAAATATGAACAATATAAGATATAATACAGAACAAATACATAACGCTCTTCGGTTGGATCTCTATCATTCAACAATCACAGTCAATCAAAGAGCTAAATGCTGATCAATGACAGCAATGAGTCAAAGCCTGAATGCTGACCCTAATTAGTCTTTTCCATTAGTCTAATTCAGTCAGTATCTAGATTAATCCTTGGTCAAAAGCTAGGTCTAAGCGTAAGGCCAAATGCATTCACACACTTTTTACCCGCATCGTAAATGTTACAAGATCAGCAGAAAATGTTGCAGCTTGTTCATCGATGTCACCTTAACTGAAATAACTGCTCAAAC